CTGCGGGGAAGAACGGCGTGACGCGGGGTAAAGCCGTGCGTTCGCACGAGGGCCGCTGGCCAGCTGCTCCCCATGCTACACCGACGACAAACCTTTGACTCGATTTTTTTAATGGTCGTAGGTCTGCTCGCCCGGGTTCCTTACCGTTCAAAGGAAAGTGGCTCCTCACACACCCCTCGTCGAAATGCATAGATAGATGAGCCCGTTACTACCTCCCCCTTTAGCGTAGTGGAAACTACTGCCCTGGGGCGCGGGCTGCCGCGATGGGGGCCTGGAAAGTGACGGGTGAGTGGGAGAAAGGGACCGAGAAGCGTGGGTTGTGGCACTTGATTTGAAATCAGAAGACTAAAGCGAAATACTACCACTGAACTTCCAGTTAGATGCCCGTTAACTTACATAACGAGGGACAACTTCATATTTTATGTGTCTCGATTTAAGCGTAGTTTAAGTACAGAAGCTTCTTTGTTGAATATTATTTTTGATGGGGGCGCCCCTTTCCCGTAATATGGTACATTCCTTTCAAACCCCGGGAGTAATCCCGTAGCCCCAACTCTCTCGTGTTTAGGTCCTGCCTCTTTCTCAAACTCTGCTGGACTTTTAAATTCTTTTTTCCTTTTTTTTTTTTTTTTTTTTTAAGGTTACCGTTCTTGTAATACTTTGGCGTACATTTTATATTGTGTGTTCACAACAGAAGGAAAAAACGGGAACTGATTTCTCATTTTGCAGCCTACAGTGACTAACCCAAGTCGTCACGGTTACAAACTGAGCTAGGATTTGAACTCAAACTCAAGACCACTGCTTTCCACAGCATCATAAGCACCTGTTTCGTTTACATTCACCAAAGGGAAGGGAGCTGGGTTGACAATTTACATGTAAATATTCTTGAACTGGTAGAGAGTGGATTCCATACATCTTAGAAATTTATGGACTAAACAGCGCTTGATGGCAGGGCTCCAATACCCCAGGAAATGATCTGCTACTAGAGTGTAGTCAATAAAACAACATGGACATCACCAGATATCCTGTTACAAATGCAGAATCTTAGGTCCTACCCCAAATTTCTTCAATCAGAACCTTCAGTTTAACAAGATTCCCAGGTTATTCCTATGCTTTTGAAGTCTGAGATACACTAACTGAAAGAGAAACATCTATGTTATTTTTATTTGAATTTCTCATTGTAGGTTAGTGTGACTATAAATCTTTCATGGTTTTAAAAAAAGTGATTCAGTAAAAATTTTCCAAAATTATTAGTAATTTACTTCTATTGAAGTTGTTTTTGATTCTTAGTTATGTTTGTACAGTTTACTTGCTGTCTTTAAAACTCTTTTATTTATTTACTTTTTTAAATTGATTGTTCAAAACATTACAGAGCTCATGATATATCATCTTTCATACATTTGACTCAATTGGGTTTTGAACTCCCATTTCTACCCCAAATACAGATTGCAGAATCACATCTGTTACATACTCACATTTTTACATAATGGCATATTAGTGACTGTTGTATTCTGCTACCTTTCCTATCCCCTACTATCCACCCTCCCCTCCCCTCCCCTCCCATCTTCCCTCTCTACCTCCTCTGCTGTTGTTCAATTCTCAAAAGCATCTAATAAATTTACAGAAATAAAATTTTCACATTTTGAAAACAAAGTGTGATGAGTTTTGACAAAAGAATACACTACTGTAATCACAACCACAATCAAAATATAGAACATTTATACAATCCAGAAATTCCTTTCTCCCCCTTCCTATCAAACTCCCCCAACAGAGAATCTAATTTGTATCACTAAAATTTTTTAACCTTTTCTAAAATTTCATATATGTAAAAGTTAAACTGTGGATGGGGGCAGGGAGAGGGAGTCGGAGCAGGATTGAGAAAGTAAGTTTTTGGACTAGAACTGCTTTGAACTTTCATGTACAGATCTTTTTATGTACTTAAATTTCTTTTTCTCTTGGTAAATAACTAGGAGAGCTATTGATAGGTCATGTGGTAAGTTTATGTTTAATTTTACCTTCTTTTTTTACAATGCTGGGTGTTAACTCAGGGTTTTGCATTTGCTAGACAATGGCTTTGCCCAACCCTATATGTTCACTTTCAAACTGCCAAACTCTTTTCTAAAGTGGTTATATCATTTTATACATTGATTGTTAATGTCTTCCCAATTAATTGATCTGTTGTTCCTAAAAAAGAAAAATAAATTATCTCTGGTAACATTCCTTCTCCTGAAATCTACTTTCTCTGATATTAATATAGATACTTCTGCTTTCTTATGATTGGTGTTTACTTATGTATTTTCCTATTCTTTTTAGCTTTACCGCCAGGTGTCCTTTCATTAATGTATATATTTTTGTAGACAACATAGTTTCATCTTGTTTTTTGTTTATTTGTTTGTTTTTTCAGTGCTGGGAATCCAACCCTAGGGCCTCACACATACTAGGCAAGTGCTCTAAGTACTGTTCCACTGAGCTACACATCCAGATCTGATTTTTTTTTTTTTTTTAAAGAATGGGTCATACGGGGCTGGGACTGTAGCTCGGTGGTAGAAAGCTTGTCTTGCAGGTGTGAGGCCCTAGGTTTGATCTTTGGCACCACATGAAAATATTAAATAAATAAAGATATTGTGTCCATCTACAACTGAAAAAAAAAGGGGGGGTCTTATTTCAGCTGCCAAGGATGGCCTTGAACTAAAGACTCAAGTGATACTTCTGCCTCAGGCTCCCAGGTAACTGGAGACTATAGGCATTTTGTTTTATTTTGGTTTTGTTTGTTTGTTTTTTAGGCAGTACTGGGAATTTTATCAAGGGTCACTTTACTACAGAGCCATATCTCCAGTTGTTTTTTGAAAAAAATATTTTGGAAAGGGTCTATGTTATTGAGGCTGGCCTCAAATTTATGATCTTCCTTCCTTAGCCTCCCCAGTTGCTGAGATTACAAGAGTGTGCCACTGTGCCTGGCTTCTTTCCTCTCTTTGCCTTCTTTAGATTAGCTGAGATTTTTTTCTTCTTAGTATTTTCTCTCCTTTTTAAAGTCTTATATATACATATTATATATATATATATGATACTATATATAATATACATGTATAAATGTATGTATAAATTTATCCATTTATTTTTGGTTTATTATAGGATTTAATCCATTTTAAAAAAAATTATCACAGCTTACCTGAAATAATACAACACTTCATGTAAAACATAATAACATTCTTATTTTCTCCACTCTCCTCATTTATTGTCATGTTTCACTTTACATATTATAGACTCCAAATATATTATATTTTCTTAATTGACTGTCTTTTAAGTAAATTTTAAAAGAGAATGAAATATCTTTTATATTTACCCATATATTACCAGTTCCAGTGTTCTTCATTCCTTTATGTATATTCAGATTGATCTGTTATCATTTCTTTCACCCAAAGGGCTTCCTTTATCATTTCTTGTATCATCAAGGTTTTCTCAGATAAGCAGAAACTGAAATAAATTATTACTAGTAGAAATAATAATTTCTTTTAGCTTCTGTTATCTGAAAGACATTGATTTCACCTTTGTTTTCAAAGGCTATGTCATCTAATTATAGAATTCTAGGAATATAGTCCCCACCCCTTTAACTTTTTAATGATGTCATTCCATCTTTTTGGGATTTGCACTGTTTCTGATGAGAAATCAACAGTAGTTCTTAACTTTTCCCCTTGTTTATGTCCTTTTTTTTTTTTTGTCTGTCTACTTGAAGATTTTCCTTTTTATCATTATTATTGCTAATTTTATTATGAAGCATTTTGGTTTGTTTTCTAGTATTTATCTTATTTGGGGTTTATTGAACATCTTAGATATAGGCTATTTTTTTAAAATCAAGCCTAAGAATATTTTTATTTTACTTTATTTTAGTTTGGGATTTCAGTTACACATATGTTTGTGACCAACTCAGAGATTACTCAAGATTTGTTTTATTTCTCAGTATTTCCTCTCTATACTTCAGTGACTGATCTTTAATTCTATAGTGTCTATAACCTGTTACTAAACCCATCCAGTGAAAATATCATTTCAATTATTATACTTTTCAAAAATAGAAATTCCATTTAGTTCTATTTGTTAGTTTTAATTTCTTTCTTCAGCACCTTCATGTTTTTTCTTTAAACCATGACATACATTTAAAATAGCTATTTTGGAATCCTTATGTGTGAATTCCATCATCTTCAAAGCTGTTGCCTATTTCTGTGGATAGATTTGTTTTACCTACTGGTTACTGGTATATTCTCCTGTTGCTTATCTGGTATGCTTTGATGGATACTCATGTTGTAAGTGTGACATTGGTGTCCAAAAAGATCATACCCCATCTCTGCTTCCTGTGAATATTTTTATAACATATTAAAAGGTAGGTGAAAACCCAGTCTAATCATATGAATTCTTAAAGGCAGAGATTTTTTTTTTCCTCTAACCAAGCTCAGAGAGCAGCAGTAGAAGACTAAGTCAAAGCAACTGGAAACTTAAGAGGGAATTGACCCTTTATTACTCTGTGACAAAGATTAGCCTCTACCTTGGAGAAAGACTTGCATCTACACCTTAGGCAAAGACTGACTCTACCCAACAGTCAGAAAAGTTCAACCTCAGTTCTAAAACTGCAAGGAAATGAATTCAATCCACAATGTGAAAGGTGTAGGAAACTAATTCCAATACTCTTCCAACACCTTGATTTTGGCCTTGTGAAATTCTGTTTATTTTATGTATTTTTTTGGTACTGGGGATTGAACTCAGGAGCACACAACCACTGAATCACATCCTCAGCCCTATTTTGTATTTTATTTAGAGACAGGGTCTCACTAATTGCTTAGAGGCTTGCTTT